GTGATTTTAGATGGTATAAAGATGTGTTTACCTCTAGAGTTATGTTAAGAGAAGACTGTACTAAAGTATTTTGGAAAGAAAAATTTATTAACGGATTACCTAGTTTATTTGCTCACAAAATTAGAGATGTCCTTAGCCAACCTACTGGTATTATTGAATATGATAATTTAACCTATGGTGATATAATTAGTACTGTTCAAAAAGAAGAGTTAAAAATGTGTATTGATCTTAAACTAAGTCAAAAAGCCACTAAAGATAAACATAAAGCTAAATATGAATTAGGCAATTTCTGTGAACAATATGGTTTGCCTCCTATAGCACCCTCTCGAAGGAAATCACATAAATATTCTAAGCATAAATATAAATCCAAATATTCTAATAAATACAAAAAGACTTATTCACCCTCCAAATCCAATGATACATTTTATACTAAACCCAAGAAGAAATACTATAAAAAATCACATCCAAAATCTAAATCTAATAAAGATATTACATGTTATAACTGTGGTCAAAAAGGTCATTATTCTAATAAATGTAAAGACAAACAAAAATTAAAAGATAAGATTAATCAATTACAAATAAATGATAACTCTAAGAATCAAATATTTGAAATCTTTCAATTAAATCAATCTGTTAGCAATTCCTCTTTTGATAATCTCGAAACTTCCTCTACTGATTATTCCACCAATACTGATTCTGATAATAATAATATAACATTATGATGCAATGATGTTTATTGTAAACCAGTTAAACAAATTACTGTCCTTACCAAATTCAATCAAGAAGAATCTCCATTAATAGAATTAATTAGCAAATTAGAAGATCCTAGTTTAAAACAGAAATATATGGATAAATTAAAATCTTTATTACTTCATTCAGATAATAAACCTAAGTTTGATAAACCTATTATTAGCTTATCCAAAACTTTAGAAAGATTTAAAAATAAACACAAAGAAATTTCACTTCAGGATTTACAGTCTGAAATCAATCAAATTAAACAAACCATTAAGAATTTACAACATAAAGATAAACAGTTAGAAGATGAAATTCTTACTCTAAAGCTAAATCAAAATTTAGATAATTTCAAACCTAATCCAAATACATCACCCCATGAATCTGATAATAATTCTGAATATGATTCTGATCACACTAATCCTGATAAACTCTTATTTGATAATCGATCTGAAATTAATAATCTTGAAGACAAACGATTAAATCTAATCAATAAGATTTATATTCAAAAATTAAAATCGTTGTTGAAGATTTTGAATTAGAATTAATTGCTTTAATTGATACAATTTAAATCAGCACTAGTATCAATTAAAGCAATTAATTCTAATTCAAAATCTTCAACAACGATTTTAATTTTTGAATACCATTTTTTAATATAAATTTTATTGATTAGATTTAATCGTTTGTTTTCAAGATTATTAATTTGAGATCGATTATCAAATAAGAGTTTATCAGGATTAGTGTGATCAGAATCATGTTCAGAATTATTGTCAGATTCATGGGGTGATGTATTTGGATTAGGTTTGAAATTATCTAAATTTTGATTTAGCTTTAGAGTAAGAATTTCATCTTCTAACTGTTTATCTTTATGTTGTAAATTCTTAATGGTTTGTTTAATTTGATTGATTTCAGACTGTAAATCCTGAAGTGAAATTTCTTTGTGTTTATTTTTAAATCTTTCTAAAGTTTTGGATAAGCTAATAATAGGTTTATCAAACTTAGGTTTATTATCTGAATGAAGTAATAAAGATTTTAATTTATCCATATATTTCTGTTTTAAACTAGGATCTTCTAATTTGCTAATTAATTCTATTAATGTAGATTCTTCTTGATTGAATTTGGTAAGGACAGTAATTTGTTTAACTGGTTTACTATAAACATCATTGCATCATAATGTTATATTATTATTATCAGAATCAGTATTGGTGGAATAATCAGTAGAGGAAGTTTTGGGATTATCAAAAGAGGAATTGCTAACAGATTGATTTAATTGAAAGATTTCAAATATTTGATTCTTAGAGTTATCATTTATTTGTAATTGATTAATCTTATCTTTTAATTTTTGTTTGTCTTTACATTTATTAGAATAATGACCTTTTTTACCACAGTTATAACATGTAATATCTTTATTGGATTTAGATTTAGATTTTGGATGTGATTTTTTATAGTATTTCTTCTTGGGTTTAGTATAAAATGTATCATTGGATTTGGAGGGTGAATAAGTCTTTTTGTAATTATTAGAATATTTGGATTTATATTTATGCTTAGAATATTTATGTGATTTCCTTCTAGAGGGTGTTACAGGAGGCAAGCCATATTGTTCATAGAAATTGCCTAATTCATATTTAGCTTATGTTTATCTTTAATGGCTTTTTGACTTAGTTTAAGATCAATACACATTTTTAACTCTTCTTTTTGAATAGTACTAATTATATCACCATAGGTTAAATTATCATATTCAATAATACCAGTAGGTTGGCTAAGGACATTTCTAATTTTGTGAGCAAATAAACTAGGTAATCCGTTAATAAATTTTTCTTTCCAAAATGCTTTAGTACAGTCTTCTCTTAACATAACTCTAGAGGTAAACACATCGCTTTAGTGCAGTCTTCTCTTAACATAACTCTAGAGGTAAACACATCGCTTTAGTACAGTCTTCTCTTAACATAACTCTAGAGGTAAACACATCTTTATACCATCTAAAATCACTTAAGGTTGGACAGGTGAGATTACTAAGTTGATCATGTATGCGAGAATATATATTAGTAGGAGTTCCAATAAAATGTCGAACTATTGTATAAATTAAGGCATTAATGCCATCAGGGTGGCAACATCCAATTGATTCATCAAAGATAGGTAAACCATTATCATCAGTTTGATTAGCATAAATTATAGATTCTCTTTGATCTTCGGTTAAATATTTTTCCCACCAAGATTTGGGCATACCAGTGAAACCAGAAGTAATTAATGTAACAATTTCAGATTGAGTATATTGGGGATAATTGGAGAGATAACTGTTGGAGACCATAGACAAATAATTTAGCTTTTGGAGGATATGATCTTCACTAAGACCATCAATATTCCATTCATATAATTTTTTACCAGAAACTGAAAATTGATTATTAAGGTTAGATTCTTCAAATTGAAGATCAACAGGAGTAGGTCGAGAATACCAATTTTTTTATAGTTTGTGAATTAACTTTGGGAGAATGAATTTTATTAAGATGAGAAGATTGGAATTGTGGAAATAGTTGATTTAGGTTATCATCAATGGTGTCAGTGTCGGATTGGGTAGAAAGAATGTTAGTAGTAGGTTGTTGATTTAGAACAGTAAGACCTTTATCTTTAGAGGGTGAAGCATTTTCAGAGGTAGTTAATTTAGTAAATAATTTTTCAATAGCTTTGACAGTGGATTGATCATTGGTAACTAAACTAGTTCGTTTGGAACGATTACTGGATAGGTTAAGTAGAGGTGGATCTAAAGTTTGTTTAGTACATGGGTTTTGAACAGATTCTAAATTGGTTTCTATTTTGTCTAATTGTTTACCAATTGTGTTTAGACATTGATTAGTATTATTATTTTGTTCAATAACCTTTTTAATCTCATTATCATGACCAGGTAATTTGAAAGGTGAAGCAGGGATTTCGGAACCTTATTGATTAAGAATGATTTTCTCTAAAGGAGGATGACTAAAACTAATAGAAGTAGTGTCAGAAGTTTTCCATTTATTTTTGGTGATTGTATTAATCTTTTTGTAATATTATTAACATATTCTAATAGAGGTAATTCAAAACCATATTCCACCATAAAATCATACCATTGTCTAGTAATTTGGGACATTTGAGTAGAATTATACTTAGCATAATAAGCCCGTCTTTGTGTTTTATTTTTAGAGGATTTAAACTCAATAAGTAATTTATCTAGATCAGGTTTGAATTCTTTTTTGATTGTCATTAATTGGGGATTGACCGGTGGTATTAATTCTTCGAAATCAATTTGAGTTGGAGAATGATTGGAAGCAATTTCTTCTTCAGATAAATATGTATGTGTAGAATAAACAGATTTACTAATTTGAGAAAAAATAGTATTATCAATACCTTTTAATTTATTGATAGACGGTTGACCAAGATAGATTTGACTATTTTTGCGAAATAAAGGAGTATTAAATATTTCATTTTCCATCTCAATTTCAATTGGAACACTAGATGTACTATGTCGAGAGGATTGACTTCGATTAAATTTAATTCTAACAGAACCATCATTGAATTGGTGAATATCTTGGATATCTTGAATTGAGGATTGTTGTTGATTATGTTTGTAATTTTCATTAACAGTAATCCATTGATCAGATAAATCTACATTTTCCCATTCAATCATTTGAGGAACATTAATATGAGATTCTCCATCTTTACTACTACTTTGAATTAATAGAGTTTTATCTTTGGGACTCTTATGTAAAGCATGAACATTTAAATTAATTTGCATGCATTTATAATGAACACGATATATCAATGCAATATTATGAACTTTGTCTTTCATGTTAGTAAATGAACCATGAATATTTAATGTTAATGCATCTAAAATATGTGGATCTCGTAGACTATGTGTAAAATCAAGAAAACAATTAAAATGTACTGGACCTTTATGCAGACCAGTTTCCATATATATTATATAATAGTTATTATATAACATAAATATACTTATAAGATAATGTATAATACATATTATAAGATAACATATACTTATACATATTAATAAATAAAAAATAAATAAACACATATATGTAAAATAAAATAAAAAAATTAATTAGAACACATTATTTAAAAAATGTAATAAATAAATAAAATAATTAATATGTATTAAAATAAAAATATTTATAAAAAAATTAAAAAATTTGCCGTGTCCCCTGCTGTGTTCGTGTCCCCATTTTTTAGAAATTACTATGTCCCGTGTCCGTGTCCGTATCCGTATGCGTATCCGTGCTTCATAAGTCCAAACCACCTCCACAGAAAGGGAAAAGAAGGATTGGTACACTGTACAATGTTGACACAAAACACACTAACCAGAGACACAATAAACAAAGAGACATCAATTCTATCTTTAAACATTTCCATGAAGTTATATAATTGCTGAAACTCTAAACTTCCAAAAAAAAATCTAGTCAGCTTTTAGGAAAAGTAAGAATGTTCCCTACCTAAAAAAAGCCAACTTGCCATTCAGTTAACTTTTCCTGCAATTTGTCTGTAAACTTAATGCACTCACTTAGCTATCAGCTAACAAGAAAACCACCACTTAATGCTCTTTCCACGTGCCAACAACTGTTAATCATTTGTCACTTCAAGCTTTTTGCCTTGCTTACATAATCTTTTCCGTTTCCTGCTCCTGGTTCTTGTGGTTTCACTGCCATCATTGCTGTCCTGCATCTAGACTACCACATATTAATGTCATGATGATCAGCAATAGAAAAGTTGAAGAACAATTCTGTTATTTCAAAAAAGTAAACTACAACCAATTTGCTGGGTATCATCTACCAGATGATTACTTTATGGATCGACATTTCCAAGTCTGCTTTTGCAAACAATATTGTACATTAATCTATACATATCACAGTTTGAACTCATTTTGTATCCATTGCAAATTTGCTGGCTTCTAGACCCTCTATAATCCATGATTGAATCCGTTTCCCTAATTCAGAAGCTATTTTTTACAAGTAATTCCGAAACATTAACAACCAGAAGCATGGTTTTTGATGGGCAAACAGGCAAGATTCAGAATAAAGAGCCTCCTCCAAAATTATGCCACAAGCATTATGCACCCCAGTCAAGGATCTGCATTGCTCCAAAGTTAAAAACAAATCTGTGCTTCACTACGATATCAACCTCACTACGAAGCACTATCAACCATAGTATGGCCAGGATCACCAAACATCAAATTATTGCCCTCAATAATATAAAGCAGACAAGAAAAAGGGAAGACCGAGGAGTACAAGCATTCAGAAATAACTCACCTTCTCTGAAACAAGATTTGCTTTTGCATGCCCACAATTCTTTTTCTTCTTAGATGAGAGTGGGTTTGGACCCTGCAAAGTCCAAGAAAAGTAGATCCATGAATGATGGGAATACCACCTTGGAAAACTGTACGAAGTAGATCCATGAATGATGGGGTGGTGTAATATAGAACTACGCTTTGCAATGATTATAGACAAGAAATATGAGACAATAGCGAACCAAATATTGCTTCCACCACTAGTCTATCCATTAGGGAACCAACAGCCACTTGGTAATTAAATCTTCTCATATTTTATAGTAATTACTTTAAGCGTAATTACATCAAGACCCCCTCAACTACTAGTGAATAACACCTTACCTCCCTTCCCTCATCAATGACCTTGTACATTTTGGCCCCATTTAACTATAAAAAACTATACAAATGGCCCTTCTAGAACAGGGCATGAGGTTGAAAGTGATGCATTTTTATAGGTCGGGGGATCAAAATGTACGTGTCATAGATGAAGGGGTAAGACAAGATTTGCAAATTGAGGAGGTTTTAATGTAATTAACCCTTGTTTGTATTATGAGTAAGAACATAAGATTACAAGTGTACACATCCATAAATTTTTCTAAGCTTAATACAATTATGCCAAAGCTCTTGTAAGTCTCTACACCAAGCTTTGTCCAATACAATAAGGGATAGAAATAAAATCTAAAATACCAAATAGAAGTAACATCCTAAATCTCTTAAAATTCCTAACAAATCTGAACTCCTGGTTATCTTGGTTCAAAAACTATAATTAAGCACAATTTTAAAATAAAGCCGAGGGTGATCTAATAACATGCTAGTAAAATCCATAAGTAGGACATCACACCAAATACTCTGGATTGGACTACCCAGTCCTTACCCCTCCAATCTGATGTTTGCACTTTTCAACTCTGGACAAACTAATCCTACCAAAATAATCCCACAAGAGGAAAATAGCAATCCCACTGGGGGTTAGGTTTGGGAATCCAGGGACTAGAGGGGGAAAGGATAAAGTTGTCCAAATTAGTGTTCTACCCTATGTTACATGGAAAAGGATCGGAAACATGGTACGAGAAGGGTAGATTTGTTTAGATTACACAATTAGAATTTAAAATACTTCTAGAGTAACTTTCTTTAACAATTAGGCACCCAATTAAATAATGCTTTTTTTCCCTTTCAAATTAGTCATGTTACAACTCATTTGTATGAGCAATATGACCCATTTTCTTTTATGTTTTATGATACCAAAACACCTCTCTGCTTATATTTTAGTTTATTATATTTAATTTGTTTTTTCTGCTAAGGTAACTTTTAAAGTACATGTTGGAAAATATTGTTGGGATCGCTTTATGGTTAAAAAGATGAACCCTATACTAATAACACCATAACTCCAATGATCCCATTGTTGAATCAATTGGAATTTGTAATAATTCTTGGTAGAAAAAAATAAGTATTTCCAAAAACATTCTTAGAAGAGAGGAAGAGTAGAAACAAAGGGTATGCTCTCTAGAAGATTTGCCCCAGGCAGTTCACTTATCAAAGACTGAAGAAATATGTGTTCGGGTAACACTAGTTCTACCCTTCAGGCGACATAAAATGCTACTGATATTTGTTCCATTTCTATGTGGATCTCTCTTGACGACGTCATAGCAGATGCACACTGTTGTCCTATTGATGCTTCCCCAAAAAGTGTATCAGACATCATGTGATCCATGGTCAGCTCTCTCTCTCTCTCTCCAGATTTGTGTGTATAGCTTATTAGACGATTTCAATATCACATTTTTCATCTTAAATTATGGAAAAAAAATTCTATGTTGTGCTTTTTATTAGATGTTGGGGCCTTGATATCAAGGGGCATGAATATACAAAATACACTTTTCCTGTCTCAGTAAAATCAGTGGCTACTTTTACTTTGTGGTGGTTGATTTTTGTTTCCACCATGTAACTATCAGTAGGAACTAGACCTATCAAGGCTTTGTCCAGTTTGCAAGCCAAAGCACTTGCGGGTTTGCTAGATTTGTGATGGTTGGCTCTCTGGATGTTGCCATGCCATCAAATGGGCCTTTTTTTTTTTTTTTTTTTTGTGATAAATAAGCAAACTTCATTAGAAAAGCATCAATGCGATGCAACGAATACAAAACACCCACAAAAGGGCCTTCAAGACTAACTACGCAAATCCTCCACAAAATCTACAAAAACGAAAACAACAGGATCAACCAAACCCGTAACCCAACTCTGCAATACCAACAAAAGCCGATTCTCTAACCAAGAAACTGAATGACACATGTCCTGAAAGACACGCCTATTGCACTCCAACCAAAGCAAACAATGGGCAGCAAGAGGCCAAGCCTTCCGGCGCCTCTTACCAACCCTAGCCCCTCCCCAACTCTGAAGAACACCCAACAGAGACCTTGGTTGCACCCACACAATACCAAACAAAGCAACAATGAAGCTCCATAACAGATACGCAACCGGACAATGAACAAGCAAATGATCCATCGTCTCTGCATCCCCACAACACATACATCACCAATTAACCAATATATGCTGCCGACGAATAAGATTATCAATAGTCAAAATATGACCCAGAGCTTCTGTTCAAACGAAAAAAAGCGACCTTAGAAGGTGATCCAATGCCCCAAATACACCTCCAAGGAAAGACAACATCAACACCTCCCACTAGCGCATTATAAAACGAAGACACTGAAAAAACCCCTTTAGATCTCGGACAATCTCACACCAAAGAATCCACCCCAACCCCTTCATACTTCACCCCATACAAAAATCCCAAAAGATCAACTGATCCAACTCTCAATCCTGAACATCACGATGAAAATGAACATTCTAACCAAGGCAACTGTCTCCTCCCTATCCGCAACAATGGCAAAAATCAAAGGAAACATATTAGCCAAAGACACCCCACCACACCACTTGTCAAGCCAAAAGCGAACCCTATCCCCCACCCCCACCTTAAGCCCCGACCCTAAAACTCCTTCCACCCCAACCAAATCCCCTTCCACAAACCCCGACCATGAGAATGACCCACCTTGTCCGAGCACCACTCCCCCCTATCCAACCTATACTTTGCCACCACCACCTTCCTCAACAATCTCTCCCTCTCCTCCACAAACAGTTACAACCACTTCCCTAAAAGAGCCCGTTTAAACTCAACCAACCTTCAAACTCCCAAACCCCCTCCCTCCTTGGGTCTACATATAGATTCCCAAGCTACTAGATGATAATGAAAACCCTCCCTCCCACCACTTCACAAAAAATCTTATTGCAACTTTTCCAACTGCCACTGGAATCATATGTATTGACATAAAGTACGCCAGTATACTAGATAGAACACTCTTAATCAACGTGATCCGCCCTCCTTTGGATAAATACTACCGCTTTCACCCCGCTAAACGTCACTGCACTCGATCCACCAACCCATCCCACACCCCTTTCTCCTTAAAAGTAGCCCCAAGTAAGAAACCAGCAATCTAGCCACCTTACAGCCTAAAATAGCTGCCAACACCGGGAGTCAAACCACCTCACCCACTGGAATCAATTCCAACTTTGCCAGATTAACTGGAAGCCCAAACATTGCCTCAAAACACAACAACACACACCACAAATGACCAATCTGATCCGCATCCACATCACAAAAAATACACACATCATCATCATAAAAAAGGTGAGAAACCACCAAAGTAGCAGGACTTACCCACCTCAAACCTTGACATCAGACCCCCCTTGAACAGCTCTGGACAGTATCTGACTCAAGGCCTCCATTACCAAAATAAACGGTAAAGAAGATAAAGGGTCTCCCTGTCGTAAACCCCTCCATGTAGGAAAGAAACTTGCCGCCGTCCCATTAACCAAGATCGACAACTGCAAAGTAGAAATACAAAACTGTACCCAACTCCTCCATTTCACCCCAAAGCCCATCCTTTCTAACACATAGAGCAAAAACTTCCAATTCACATTATCATAGGCCTTCTCAATATCCAACTTACAAATAATGGCCTCCTACCCTGCCTAATCTGCGAGTCTACACACTCATTTGCCACAAGCACAACATCCAAGATCTGACGTTCCCCCACAAAGGCATTCTGTGACTAACACCCCCTCCAGCACATCCCGAAGCCTATTTGCCAAAACTTTGGCCAAAAGCTCGTAAACACTCCCCAACAAACTAATCGGCCAAAAAACCCGAATATCCTCTGCTCCCTTTTTCTTAGGAATCAAAGCTATAAAAGTTGCATTAAGGCTCTTCTCAAACTGGCGCCGTCTGGTAGAATTGCACAAACATGGCCATTACATCTGCTTTCACCACCATCCAACACTGTTTGAAAAAGGCAATAGAAAAACCATCAGGCCCTGGCGCCTTATCTCCAGGCATACTCCTCAAAACACCCAACATCTCCTCCTCTGTGAACAGTCTCTCCAACATTCGACCATCCGCCTTTGAAATAGTATCAAAAGTAACCCCATCTAGCCCCGACCTCCACATTTCCCCCTTATCCTGGAATAAATATTGATAGAAGCCTACTATACCACTCCTAACTTCCTCTTCTTATGCTAGAACCACCCCATTAACACGTATCTTTCCTATCTGATTTGACCTCCTATGAGCATTAGCCATTCGATGGAAGAATTTTGTGTTGTGGTGCCCATCTTTCAACCACAGACATCTAAACTTTAGATGAAAACTAATTTCCTCCATATGGGCAATATGCCCATACTCCTTCAGAACCCCATCTCGACGAACCAAGTCTGCTTCAAAAAGACCTCCCTCAGCTTCCTTGTTGTCTAACTCCTATATGACAGACAAGGTATCCGCCTTCTGAGCCTCCAACCGACCAAACACCTCCACATTCCCACCGCTTCAAATCAGACTTAAGCAGTTTAAACTTTAGAGCTAACTAACAACTAGGCAACCCTACCACATTGTAACTACCCCACCAGCCCTCAACCTTCTCCACAAAGCCCTTTGCTTGCAGACACATATTCTCGAATCGAAATGGTGACGGGCCATGTCGAACCCCCCCCTGTCCAATAGCATTGGCCAAT